AAAATAAAACTTAAAAAGAAAAGAAAAAGAAAATAAATTCAAGTCATTCTTCTTACAAAGCCCGCTGTGCGCACCAGGGCGGGAAGGACCATGTTTGGCTGTTCAAAGTCCTCCCAGCCCCCTTTTTCCTGGATTTCAAAGCCTTGGAAAAAGCTCTCATTTCATGAGTACAGTACTTCAAAATAGAAACTTAAACAAGTTTCAGCATGAATAAAAAGCATTAAACATTTCAATTTTTACAAGATTGGATGAGCTCGTTGGGAGGGTGTTTCTGCCTGTCCATTACAGGGCACCTCCTGACAAAAAAAAAAAACAACTTTTGATGATGGACAGTTGATTGAAATGCTATGCACCTGATTTCAAGCTAAAATCAAACATGAATAACTAACCGGCTAGTGATGGATATAATATGCAGAGGTGCAACTGGCAGTAACCCAAGTAAAAACAGGGGAGGTACACCAGTTACTCAGAAGCAAAAACCCACTGCGAGTTGAAGATGGGAAAACGGAAGGCTAACTTAAAATTAAGACATTTACTGTATATATAAGATAAAAAGGGCGTGTATTCCTTGAGTCATAACCCCTATGGAGGAAAACTGGATATGGGAAAACAAGTGAAAATGTGTGTGTCTCAGTATTAGGAAACTTATTTTCACAGCCATATTATCTGTGTATTAGTTACATCATAGGTCAATCCATGGTTGCAATTTAAGGTATCTGCATGCGTGTGTGTGTGTAGACAATTAGCCAGGGTGAAGGTGTGTTTTTGTGTGTCCACCAGCAGGTGCTGCAGTTAAGTGAGGAAGAACAAGAAGAGCCAATGACCCAACACAGAGGGGTCGTGTTGGTAATCCTGGTGTGCACTGGATCCTGACCGGAACAAAGCTGGCTCCTCCTCTAGGTGAGCTGGTGAGGCGCCTCTAGCATCTCCATCAGGAAGGTGTCAATGGGCGTATCACCAATCAGTTTAAAGAAGAACAAGTGCTCCAGGCACTTCAGACCGATGGAGCGCAGTGCCGGGAGCCGGAGGAGGAGCTTTGCAAACCTGTATAACAGAAGGAACAATGAGGGACAGAAATGGTTTAAAATCAATTAAAATGCACGAAAAATTGTGAATAAGTTTTCAGATTACAGAAAGAAAGCATCCTGGATAATCTGTTAATATAATGTATTTAAGCAGAACTAACAGTTTGTGAAAACACGAGTTGGAATACATAAAATATCTGTCCATAATCACGATCTAACAGTGTACAGCTCAAGTTATGCTTATAGTACACAGAATCTGCCCCGACTCTTGCATTGAGTTTCAAGTGACAAGATATCAGCAATACGAATACTTTATGCCAATCCGAGTTATCTCATACAACTAAACTAAAAAAATGAATTATAAATTGCTGTTTCATTTTAACAAAGTCAGTGGATTTAAGAGGACTTGATTAAATGCTGCCCAGGATTCTTGGCTGTTTTCACACTATGAGCACAAGTAAATTTGATCAAGATACAACATTCAGTTTGTTTGGTAACAGCCCAGAGACTAATTCAGAAAGGCAGACTGTATCAGCTGCTCTGTGCAGCGGTGATGAGTGTACGTGGGTATGTGTAAAGCCCACAGTGACTTCACCTCTTGTCTGTAGTCACATGTGCAATATCTTACCTTCCCTGCTGATCGGGATATTTCTGTTTGCAGTAAGACTCCAGAGATGCGTACACCCTCTCTCTTAGGAGCTCCACCTCACTGGAGTTGGACAAACCCTTAGCATCTTCAGGTAAAAACAGAATATTTTCATTATTTCAACAGTTTAAAATTTCTTCAGTTTTCCAGACATTAATGAGTCTGTTTAATTTTAGTTTTCCCAATAACACTTTCACATGATTTTCAACACTGCACCTGCACATGTACCTGGATTGAAGAGAATGATTGCTCGAAGGCAGCCCAGCTCTGTCTTGTCCATTTGCATGTCTCTCATTTTACTAACAAGCTCTGTCAAAACCCTGAAGAGAGGACAAGAGATATGCAAAGAGAGAAGTCCCAAATGGAGACAGTAGGAAAAAGCCGGAAGAGA